AAAATGATATTAACTGAACTAGTAAAACTTTTCCACTGCGCCTTATCAGCACAGTCTATCCACCCACAGCAACATCACTTTTATTGTTGTCTCTATATTAGGCTACTTCATCTCCCCCATATGTGTAAAAGATTTAATGTATTCAATGACATTGACAGTTTCTTCTACACATTTTCTTTGCAGAAAACACCTTCTGTAAGCGTGTTAATGCAAATAAACACACGTGGTATGTTTCCTGTCAATTCCCTTTTGTTCCTTTCTTCTTCTCATTTAGTTTATTTTCTGTAAACTGTAAAGCATACGTGTTCTGTATGGATTTATGCTATATACACGTTTTCATATAATTTTCCATTTATCATTATTTACATTCTATTTTCATATTGTGTCATATTATTTTGCACATCCTCTATATATGGTACATACCTTTCCAGTTTTTTCATTAATATATCTCTACCTAATACTTTAATAAAGTGTGGTGCTGGACTTATTAATTTCATACATCTATTTCATTTAAAGGTCCAGTGTGTAACATTTTGGAGGATCTGTTGGCAGGAATGAAATATAATATTCATAGGTATGTTTTCATTAATGTATAATCATCTCAATATAGGAACTGTTGAGTTTTCATTACCTTAGAATGAACAGTTTTTAGCCATGTCTCTACAGCAGCCCATAACAGACAGACCAAACACTGGCTGTAGTTTCCAGGCCTCTGTACTTTCTCCTGCACACTTCACAAACTGTTCTCATTTCATGTTCGTCAAATACAGACGTGAGTGGTGTTCAGTTGGTTTCAATCTGCAATTTCATCACTAGATTCCACTTAATCCTACACACTGGTACTTTAATCTTATTTTTCTGCTATGATTCTTTGCTTTATCCCTTCATTACTTGTACGTTTTTCTGTACAACCCAATTTCCTGCAGTGTTTATTAAAGTTTCATATTATCATTATGAAAGTATCATGCCATACACTAAATGAAGTTAGTTAAAAGCCTGGGAACAGATATTTGACAGTGACATTTTTGTTGTTATCGCTTACATTTTGCTTTGTAGAACACATGTGCGAGCTCAACTAAACCTAATAAGTAACATTATCAAACAAAATGGTATAATTTTGAATTCATTGTATTAATGAGTTTGCAAGACACGCCCACTTTATCAGAAAAACTATCACTGACTCTTAATTTTTCTTCATTGTGCTAATTTTCTTGAATAATTTATAAAGACATTTTTTGTCTATCACTGCAGCCAGGTATACCATGACATGTAGCCTTCAGACGATAAAAAGATACTTCTCAAAGGGATCCTACTGCTGTGATGACCTTCTGAGAAAGATCATTACATAACAACACTGACACACCACATCAGTAATGATCAACACTACTAATAGGACCACCACACTGTTATGGTCCAATCATTGGAAGGTGAAGTAGGCTCATGGGAAACAGGCTGTAAGTAAGGAACCGCTATATGTTGCATTTCCCAAGCCCTGTGCTGAGATATATCAAGTTTTAACATTTCAATCGGATACCTAAACATATTTGAAAATGTGTAGAACTAATACCTACCGAAATATCTAGTAACCAGTACAGAGCAGGGCAAAACCACTGCTATCAAAAAAGCATCAGTCATTCGTTTTTGTTTGTTTTTCAGTTCCTGAACTCTGTGTTAAAATAGTGGACTATTTTTCAAAGAAGTCTCCAGTGCTTTCAGGAAGCATTGAGGTGAAAATGTACTGTACACTCTGATGTCCCATATGTGAATGTCTCATAAAATAAAGATGTTTGGTGAAGAAGGAGGCTTTTATATCAACATCTTTGTGACTACGAGAAAACCCAGTCCCCTAGTCTTGTAAAATGATCTGGTATATAAACTATGGCAGCAATACAATAATGCAGGGCCATTGAACCGCATAATGAGTTGAACAAGATGGCTGCCTGTACCATTAGTGATTTATTTTACAGCTTGTAGCTGGCATTGCGACTTAAATTAGTAGTTTGTTACTATCCAAAGTAAAGAATAACTGCTTCTGTTCTGAGTTAGCTCTAAAATGTGGGAGAGATCAAAACCATGCTTCACTCTACATTTTGATGATTTTTGTTGCTTTCATGTCTTTCAGTCTTGCTTCTGTGCAGGATAAACTGAATAACATATTTATATAAATATCAAATGATTACATTTAAAGGGATCCTACCACAGAAGTAACTGAATTCTGTTGAAAGGAATTGTCACAGCATAAAATCGTAAAAAAAAAACAACCTTTCAGTCCATAATGTCTGTACAATTACATTACAGCATTCCATCCTCATATATATTAGGAAGTTTTCCACAAAGAGCCCATACCAGTAAGTCCACTGACATTTAAATCCTTGCCAAATTTATCCACATGGTTGAAGTGAAACAAAATGGACCCAGCCTGTACAAAACATGAATGAATGAACATTGATTTTCCCTTCTCTGAGATCAAATAAATATTTTAGTATATATATGTTAATCAGTTGTTTCTAACTGTGAAAAACAGCTGTATATAAGTATTTGTTGCATTATTTGCTCAGACCCAATGTCAAGCTCAATCAGCTGCTACACTATTGTGCAGTGTGATGACATTAAATCCCTGCAATGAAATCTTGATTCGTAAACTGCTTCATTGTCTGAAACAGTTTGTACTGAAACGACATAGAACAAACTGAAGCAAAAAATGCAGCAAAATGTACGAGTGGTTGAAGAAGAAAAACTACCAGAGATTTGGAACGTTTGATCCAGCTTCTGTCATGTATTCTGTTAAAGTAGCATTGAACGAGACCTTAGAGCAAGGTCTGCTCACTTCATCTAGACAGCAGCAGCAATTGAATAGCAAAAAAATAAATATATATATATTTTATTCCGATACATGAAATAAATGCATTTTCTAATACTGTCTGACCCAGATTTGGTCATATCTATTAGAAACATGCCATTGTTAAGATACTCATGGTAGCTACACCACACCGGGTTATGAGTGAAAATAAACAAGTATCTGAAACCAACTAGTTTACAGTCACCATCAGCCTGGCAGACTGTAAGCAGAGGCTATATCACAGGTTAATAAAAGGAGTATGTGTCTCATTTCTAACAGTTAATTTTTCACTGCTTTTGTCTTCTATGAATTGTTATCATTCAGTAGTAGTTGCACTTCAACCAGTGACTACACATTTTAGAGGGCCCTCAGCTCTAGTGTTATTATTTCACTTTTCAATGCATTTGATTGTGAACATTTTTTACCTGCATATTTATTTCAGTTTCAGACTGACTAACAGTATGTGGCGACTAAACATAAATTTAGTCTGCATCTTGAGGCTGGAAAATATATGATTAATCATCTTTGCAAGCGATGAATCACAATTATTCATTATTTATATGTATTGTAGATGGTCCAAGGAACACGCAGCTTGTTTCAGTTCAAAAGGTACAGGCAGGTTCAGTTTTATGCTGAATAGAGGCACTAATTTATACACCATGAAAACCCATTTGCACCCATTCCAAGGAGAGTGGTGTTATTCAATCGACACAATCAGAGCACTTGACAAGACAAGATTAACAAAAGGCAATAACAGGAAAATATAGCCAAACTAGATTGGGGGTGGTAAGTGACAAATGTTAATGTGATGAAATAATTAACAAGACACTTCAGAGAAGCAGGATTGATCCAGGCTACGGTCAATTTGCCCTCTTTCAAAAAAGGTAATTTGATCAATTCTAGCACAGAGCTGATCACCTACTGAAGCCCTGTACGGTAAGTGGGTATAGGAGACTGCATGTCTGCACATTTAAGGTTCCACTTCAGGAAAAAGAGAGATGTGAAGTGATGAAGTCGACTGGCAACACAGTGTTTGCCTCCAGCAGCCTGTCATCTATAACACAAACACTGATTATTCAAACTGCCTCTTCCTTTATTGTCAAACTCCCATGACTTGAGAAAACCGGCTGTTATGCTACTTCTGATGGATCTGTTTATCTAAATGCATCACTACAGGCCTTAACAATTTTAACCATTTTTCAAGAAGATAATGCACATAACATTTAATAAAGTCCCAGGTCACAGACATACAAGGACATACAGCCAAGATTACAGATGGATGAAACAACCGAATCGTGGCATTTCAGTATCTAAAACCAAATCAACAACTTGTCAGACACACACTTCCTTTCTATTCACTGCAGCAAATGTAGTCTCAATTTTCTCATCTTTAATTAATCCCCCCCTCCTTGAGGTAATGATCGCTGTCTCGGAGATTGAACTGGGGAGATTTCTTTCCCTACACCAATTTTATCATTATCTGGTCTAGGCCCACTTGTTAATTAGCATAACCTAATTCAAGTCTGCCTCCATGTGGCCCTTATACTGACACCTGCTCTGTCACTCTAAAGGAGCAACCCTCTGAATATGAAGATTTGAGTCTTCTTCTAATGGCTTCTGTCTTACCCTGTTGCACTGGTAAAAACCAAAGTGAGGAGAGATTAGTGCTCTGTCACAGTCTTTGCACATTGCTAATTTGATCCTGTTTTTGGGCTAATTAATAAACATACAACAAGCCATGGTGAGTGAAGTTAAAAACAGCTTCCTGTCTGGATCTAACATTTGGAAAATACAAACAAACATCCACCTGCCCTCCACAGTCTGTTAGACACAGAGGAGGGTTGTCTTAAGGGCACAAAGTAACATTCAAAAACAGAAAAAAATAATTGCTGTCGAATTGTAGGATCAAAAACATGTTTCTTTTTAAAATATATTTCAAGTCACATAAAAGCTCCACAACCCTGTCTCTATCTCTCTGATCAAGACTGAAGGAAGACTCCCCGTTATGAATCTCTGCACCCTGTTCCCTCTGGGTGGCACACATACATAACCTCTGCCAAAAAATCTTTAGTTGTCGGATAGGCGAACAGTTCAGTTCAGTCAATGCAGTGTTTTTAAACTAACACCTGTTAGAAGATATTAAATGCGCAGGATCGCTTACCTACAAAGGGAGAACTCCTTTCCATTTCGTTCACCTTTCCACAGAAAATGGAAAATGTGGCAGCAGATACGACCACGTCCGACGTACTATCCCCCTGCCAGCACACACACAGAGAGAGAGAGAGAGAGAGAGAGAGAGAGAGAGAGAGCTGTGCCAGGTTATTAGCCAGGGAGAATCGGGGGAATTGGAGCAGTTGCGAGTTACAACACCTTTTACTGACAGGACCCAAAAATTCAACTAGAGTCGCTCTTATGTGACATATTTGAAATCTTAATGAGATTTCATGTGAGTTTAGTTCCACATGAGTAAAGCGCTACAGGGTGTTCACAAACAGCACAGTGTACAGGTAACCGACTTGTTGCCTTCTGCATGGTCAAACAAGCAGAGATAATCTGGAAACATGGATCTCTGGATTCTGGCTCCACCACAGTTTATATATTTATGACTCACCTGTTAACAGTGAGCACACATCCTATCATCAAACTACTTCGCCCATTTTTTTTTACAACGTGCACTCCATTTGTTGCCATAGGGACCAATAAATGAGAATCCTAACTCGACCCACAATAATAAAATCAGGGCAGTGAAAAAGAAGAAAAAGAGGCAATATGTTGAGATAAAAAGGGACTCAAATGGACTGGACTAGAGGTCTGTGTGCTAGGGGGATTTTTATTTTTTGAATGAGTGGAGTGTTCAAGGTGATGCGATGCAGCACAGTTTGGCTGTATGCATCCATGAGTGTGTGTGTCTGTGTGTGATACACATTTACGCCGCTGGGTGGCAGTAAATGCATATAAATTGTACTGATAAAGTAAAGTACTTTATGTAGACTGCCTGTATTTACAGTCTATGGCTCGGACTAATCAATGATTTTTCATTTAATCTCTACTTTAATGTTTAAAAAAAAATGAACTCTACGATATATGCTTACTTCAGACAATGCGAGACCACTTAAACTTACAAAACTATGTAGTACATTCAAATTTTATTTTATGAATTATTTTGTTTTACTCTATCAATATATAGGGTATTGTTATTTATTTATTTTTTCTTACTTCTTAATTTGTTGTGTAATTTGCCTAATTATTTGACTGTTTATCACCGTCTGTCTCTATTACATTCCTCCATAACAGAAAAACTATTGAGACATAAAAATGGCTACTTTACATCAACCTTATGTAAAACTTATGTACCCCTAAAGCAAATATGCCAATAAGTGATGTAGGACTGGCTCAGTTAAACTTGGCAAATGCGCATCATAGAAAACATCTGAAAGTGGGACACTGCTGTACAGTACTTTTTACAGTAAATTCAATATAGTAAGTCCCTCAGACAATGCAATACATGTCCGATAACAACTAAATCAAATAAAAGGTATAACTGTATATTTTAAAATGGAATGATCAATTATAAGTTTATGCAGGTTACTGATGGTCAATATACACTTGCACATCAATATAACCACACAACAAACGAAAGGTACAATTTCCTTTTGATTGGCATAAAATTATTTATTATTATAATTATTTATTCTTTTTTTATTATCGTTCGTTGTGTGTGTGTGTGTGTGTGTGTGTGTGTGTGTGTGTGTGTGTGTGTGTGTGTGTGTGTGTTTCGCGGTGGGGGGGTGGGGCTTTCCCAGCGTTTGACGTGTCCAACTCTCGCGATATTTCGGGTATCTCCGTTACCCACCCGTCTTGGATACCCGAGTTTCACCGTAGAGAAACATCAACATAGTAACCCGGGAAAGGCAACCGTAGAGGCGGGTAGCGACGTTTCTTTCCAAGAATCTCACCGCCGACCTGGATACTTTGTTACCGGGACAAACGCTGAGACAACAACAACAACAACAACAACAATGGGCGCATGTCGCTGGAAAAAGTTGCTAGCTTAGTTGGCACAACTGTTAGCTAACATTGGTTTGCTAACAGTTAGCTGGCTAACGTTAGCAAACAGACAGCGGAGCGAAACTGAAGAAGTCCGGAGAAGTTTGGATTTTCTTATCACGGGGACGTCGGCATGTATGTGGACATCTAGACCCATCGGATCGTTTCCCCAGAAGGTATATGTTCAGTCTCTCAGAAGACGTGTTTTAAGTTAATTCATGACTTTCCGGTCAGCTAGCGTCAACATTAACTCTCGGGAACTGGCGGCCCCGACTATTACCTGGACCGAAGACTTTTCAAAATAAGTGCTTTTGAAGTCCGATGTTAGAATGAGTTAATTACGGACATGGTGCTTTTAGTGTGAAACTACTGGGAAACTAAACACTGTTGTGTAAAAGTTGTGGTCGTTTTAACAATATCTGAGTTCGTTTAAAGAAACATTATCACTCCGGTTGTTAACTCTCTGTTGAAAGTGGATCAGGGTTGTGTTGTCCGATTGCCCGGGGGTTTAATTCCCGGACGGGGTGCTCCGGTCGTGGACGTGACACCGGTGATGTGCCGGTAATTTCTCGACTGTGACCTGGGCAGTTATGTGGCCATTGCTTGCTGTTTTATTTGGTATTGTTATGATTGATTATATTTAATAACACCAACGACAGCTAGCTTTTTAACAGCCCGTGTAACGTTACGGGATATCAACCTATTTCAGGTTCTTGATGTTTTACAAAATAATGTAAAGAAAAAATTAAATCACAGAATGGAAGGTAATCTTCCCAGTAAAATATCCGGAGACAAAAACTGGATGTCAGGTGGATGTAAAGCCCATCAAACACCACTTACTACGGTGGAGTTGGGGAGATTAAAGTTAAAGTCAAAGATGGCAAATGACTTCTTCCTCTCCCGGCGGCTCGGAGGTCCTGCTGCGCAACCTTGTGCACAGTAGTGACTAGCGGTCGGAAGCTATATAGCAACAGTCTTAGGGCTTTACATGAGTGTTTTTGTAGTGTAAAGATCCAGCCATAGGTGACAGCACCGAGCGACTACAGCCGAGCAACGCTGCAGTCGGTGGGCGAAGAAGAAATTATGCGCCATCTTGGATTTTACACGGGTTTTCGCCTTCACGGAAATCACCCACAACTCCATCGGGAGAAGTTTGTTTATATCACTTAAGACTCGCCTCACATTGTTTTTAATGGTCCTAAAAGGTCGCGGATGGGCTCACTTTCAATCCTGCGAGTATGTAATTTTAATATACTTTCGTTAATGAACTTAGTGAGTTATAACTACATGTGTTGGGTGTATTCATCTCTGACAGCAATACAGGACCAGTAAACAGTACTATCTTGGACCAAGCCTGCGTTTGTAGACTCTTGGGTTGTTCATTTGAAGGAATCAGCTGACACCAACTTACTATCTTACAAACTTACTATATATCGATTGTTTGTTACTAATGTTAAATACGAGCATTAAGTTAGCTTTGTTCGTACAGAGAAGTGCGTTTTGTAAATGCTGGCGTGTGCACTTTTCAGTTCAAGTCCCAACTAGTAATTGACGCCAGCTCATCTTGACAGTCATGGTGACAACCCAAAAAAGTTAGTTCCAAGTATACATTTGCCAACTTTACATACAGTTGAACAGAATATCAGATTAGCCACTCTTCGCTCTCCTACCATAAGTTTTGGATTCAGTCCCATCCTGATTCAAATAACGGGAAAGACACAGACAACTGTCTGTAGCCTGCTCTTGTAAACAAAATTTAATTCACACTGTCTGGCTGCACGGTCATCAGTGTATGACTATATGTTAATGGCGAGGACGGTTACTAAGAAATTCTGTTGATGTAGAAGCAAAGATTAACTCAGTTTTCTTCCTGTTTGCTCTCTCAGCCTGATGTGATTGCCTCAGGGTGGTGTCACGTGATTGTTATGAGTAAAAGGCATGACATCTGAAGAACTTCTTATGACTCAAGGGGTGCAAAACACCCATCATGAACAAAATAACTAAGCTAGACTTGCTCTTAGATCCATGGTAGAATAAACTTATCAAAGTGGCTGCTACTGTCTCAGAGAGAGTTGTACCTACAGTAGGTTGGACCAGCCACATGCTCTCTAGCATTACAGGTGTTTGAGGTAAACATCACATGGCTCACATGTGACAAACTTCAGTTCTGCTTATCTTCCCTCATGGAAATCTCTTGAGGAATGTGCTGTTGTAGAACCTGTTTTAAATGGCATGGTGACAGTCTGTTGTCAACAAACTGTCATAGTATACATTTTCCCCCAGTATGTTGTTCCTTGTTTTGGTTTCAGTTAACATTTTTGGTTGGCATTTTAGCTGCCAGTTTGCTGAGCTGTTACTGCACTTTTCTCCAGATTGTGTATATGGTATACAGTAGATTAAAAGAGTGAATACTTTTAATTAAGTTTCTTTGTTGATCTCATTTATGTCACTTTTAACTTTGCTCAGTATTGAGTTTTCATTATTTGCTTGTGTCTAATCTTGGCTGCAGGTGAACGGGAGAGATGAGGAGCAGCAGGAGAACGGAGGTGTCTCTTAAAAGCTCTGCTCAGCAGCTCACAGATCACAATATTGGCACAGGTGTGTTAAAAAAAAACCCACCAACAACAAAAGGGGTGCTTGGTAACTTACCTGGTAGAATTTGCTTCCTATGTAGGCTGAGTCCTTACCACAGCAGCCCAGGGTCGATTTCAACTTGCAGCCCTTTGCTTCATGTTATTATGGATTGTCTACATAGCAAGAGTTTCTGTATCATATGTTATAATGAGTTTTATTTTCTCTGTCAGAGCTGACAACTGCATGGAAAAGTTTGGCTCAGTCCAAAGCTGCTGTGAGTACACCTGGAATAGTTCTTGGATAGAATTAAATTTGTTTTGTAAAAGTAATGAAATTCAGTGTGCTATAATCTAATGATGATGAAGATTACTCCCTTTCATCTTCACAAAACTTAGACTGAGACAAAAAAAAACCTAAGGAGACTGACATGTATCCTGTCTCTGTAGTTACGGCATATAGAAAACCGTCTAGAGGCAGCTCCAGGGACAGGGGTTCTCCTGGAATCTGTCATGGACCCCCCCAAGAAGAAGTCCTCCAGGACGGTCCGTTGCAGGGGTGAGTTATTTCAAAACGTAAACCTACATTAGTTAAATTCTGCACTTACACAACAACCATTTTAACACTGCTCTCTCAATCACAGATGGACAACAAGCTGATGACAGTGGAGGGTCATCAAAGCACAGGGGGCGTAGTCAGCAGAGTCCAGAAAAGAGCAGCTCACGCAGCCCCCTGAGAAATACCACCCAGGACAGCAATGTCCGCAGAAACAACAGCGTTGAGTTCAGGGAACCGCTGGCCTCCTACAGGTATAAATACTGCACTAATACACATTCATGAAACATCCTCAAACACCTTTCACTAGGTACATTGCAGTATTATTGGTCATACTCAGGACTGGATATCTGTATTACTTAGTAATATTCTGTTTTTCCAAATCTTATACAAAAATCTACCTAAAACTATACCCTTAGCTGTTATTTTATATGCATACCAAAACAATGTTATAATTATAAATTCATGGGATGTCCCGATCCGAGCTCAATGATCGGTATCGGCGCTGATCAAGTCATCATTTTTGAACTGATCTGTCTCTGCTATATTGGACTTTATTGACCCAATCTGAACTTTTGTTTTACGTCAGCTGTCGCACAGCTGTTTTTACCCTCAGAGCTTTATCGGCAACTTTCTCGGGTGTCTTTTTTTCCTCCATTCTGTTAAACTCTGTGTGTGTGATAGCAGGAGCAACCCCTTCCTTCTAAATAGTGTTGTGAATTCTGTAGAGTGACAACAGAATAAAATAATGCTTTTCCCCCCCATCAAGGCCAAGATATTTTCATGGTAATTATTGCAACACCTCATTGTTTTAACTTGATACATCAGAGGGATCTCTTTAACCTAAATAATAGATAGACCCCAATGCTCTCGTCAAGATTTCTATTCAGAGACCATATGTTCTTGACATCTCCTCTGAACAGCTTGTAGCTCAATAGCTCACAGATACTTCAGTAGCTCAAGGCTCCAGTGTTTGCAGTGAGACTGAGAACCTTAAGATTTGTTTCTAGTGTTGTCACTGAATGTAACAGAATTACTGGATTTCAGACATGAATATGTTGCACATTTACAGTAAATTATATACATTTCTAATGTTTTATGACTAACAATATGAATATTAGAAATTTAATTAATAAAGTGGCTGTATGTTGTTGTTTTTAGTGATGTTTTTACAATAACAATGTATTTGTTCAGAAGTTTTTTGTTTATGTTTTGGCAAATATAGACAATAATACATGATATTCCAATTACCTTCTGATGTTATTATACTTAGAGAGCCACCAGTAATCTTATTCTGTAGTCAGTGAGGGCAGTACCACATTTAAAAGTTCACAAATGTGCTCTTCCGTACACTCAGTGAGTGGTAAATTAAGAGTAAATCATCCTAAATCCCCTTCCTGATCCCATGTAATCTGGTTTGTCTCCAGAGAGGCCACCCCTCCACCACATCCCTCCTCTCAGCTAGAGGCCTACAGTCTGCAGTCAGTGCCAGGGTCTGCATGCCCATCCTCTACGCCTCCTTCAGACCCTCTTCTCAGCCAACTGGTCTACCAGAGAGACACCAGGGACAAACAAACAGACAGGGACCTGGACAGCACACACTCCTCGGCTCTGGAAAGCACTGAGGTCCGCTACCTCAATGACCAGCCAGCCCTGGTCACCCTGAGGACTTCTGGAAACCAGTCACATCTCACAGGTGGACGAGTCCGAGCAAGGGAGGGGGCTGAAGAGGAAAGCACTCCCAAAGCACAATTTGGCATGGATAGCCAAGAGTCAAGCCCGTGTTTAGCTCCAGCCCCAGGCTCTATACGCCGAGGGGAGAGCACTCCCTCCACCAGCCCTGGCTCAGCTTCCCAGCGGCTGGAGAACCTAAGGCGACATCAGCCTGATGATAAGCTGGAGAAGCTTAAAGAACGTATTCGGAGGCAGAGGCAACATCTGGAGGAGGCTGCAGAGAGGGAGAAGCTGCTGGGTTATCTGGAACAGCCCATTATGGAAGCTGTGGGGAGTAACAATGCTGGTACCAGCAACATGCCCAAAGCCAAAATACGGAAAGTAGCAGCTGCACCACCTGCACCTATATACAAAGGTACCATCAGTGTAGGATGTATCCCAAACTTCAACTTTCTCTTTAGTTAAATAAAAACATAATGATATGTGAAGTGATGGCTTGTTCCTCAAATACATATTTTAGCCATAAAATAGAAAACGGGTTGCTACAGTTTCCATCTTCAATCCCTTTCTTTTTAGGTTTCAACAGTGCTGAGACAAAGATCCAGACTCCTGATGGGAAAGTTTGGAAGGAGGATGAGTTTCATAACCTCAGCAGAGAAATATACAGAGACCTGTCAAGACAGTTTGCTGGTAAGCATTAGACACAAACATTTCCTCTCATTGCTAACATTCCTTATTTCTGACATTTTGTTTTATGATCAGGATGTCACAGATGTTTTTAAAATTACTGTTTTGACCTGGGCTTGTAGTTGTGATTCTTAACCCAGTTTTTTTGTGGTAAATGGTGGTTATTGGTGATCTCTGACATGCTTGGGCCCTTGTATGTTTCTTGGCTTTGGTCCAGGTTTTAAGACCCTATGGCATAGAGCGCTCTCTGAAGAACTAATTGCACATGAATGAACGACATTCTGACCATCATCTGCCAGGAAGACAGTTTACTGTTGGATTTGAGAAAATCAATTTTAATGGGCTGCTTAAATAAATTCTATATTGGGAAACACAGTTGTATGGATCTGTCAGAATCACAAACCAATATTGTTTTTTTCTTTTCCAAATTAAGTGTTGCATAAGCAAAGATGTCTTTGGTTTCTAACCTTTACTATTTTTTTATTATTATGTGTTGCATTGTGGCTTATTCTCTGCATGTTTCTTCTGTGTACAGAGAGCACCAGATCCAGGCATCAGCAGCAGAGGGAACAGAGACCAGACAGGTCCAAAGAGAGGAGGCCTACCAAACCAGTCAGGAAGGTCCACAGAGCTGCTCCTTCCTCTGACCTAAATGCAAAACCAGGTATAATAATCCTCTTTTATGTGAGAGAGCCAACCCACCCTCTGATCTATTTTTAATTAGTGACAGTAGAAAAGCTAAGCATATGGAACAGCCTGGCAGGATTTTCTGAAGGGTCAGTGCACACCAAGAGCCTCAAATGTTGAACTATGTGTGTGCCTAGAAGGTTTTTCTCAACTGGCTTTGTCACTTTAGTGTCTGTGCCTTTTTAAGTCAGCTGTATTTCCGATCTATGTTCATTCCCTTGTTTATTTCTGTGCACATTTTGTTATCCTGCACACATGCTCTCACTGATGTCAGTTCAATAATTATTTGGCTGCTATCATTTCTTAGTCTTTCAAGTGTTGACATATAACCTAAACATGACAAAACAGAATGATCCAAATATGATTTTTTTCATTTGAGTCCAAATTAGTTAATCTCAGAAATGCTTCAAACAAACTGCTGAAACCAGTGTTCAGACTACAGTATTGGGTGTATTTTTCCTCTTAGTTTTTCCATAACGGACCTGTGTGTGTTCCAGTAGTACATGACCCAGAGATATTGCCGGCTTCTGAGGCTGTGTTAAGACTTAAATCCCCAAAGAAATGTCAAGTATGTGTGACATGGAGCATATAAACACCTACATAAAAGAATAATAACCACATGCTGCTGTAACCTGGGCATACCAGAAATCTGACAGCTGAGAAAACTCTCCCCTTCCTCACGCACAAAGATGCTTCCAAATTGCACATGTATAAACATAATTGCTAGCTATCTTCATCTCTGTGTATATGTAGACCTGGACTCAAGAACAGGCACTTGTTAGATATTAAATAATGATGTCTCTTTGACATATCATACCAATGAATGAGTCACTATTATGCCAAAACAGTTATATACAGTACAGGGCAAAAAAGATGAACTCTGGATACCCTGAAAGTTGACTGTGATGTATTTCCCCATTCACTCTGTACCTGGTGTGTAAGTTTGTGTTGTCTCTCAAGTCTGGCTGGTCTCTGTTTCATGCTGGCACAGTACTATAAATAGCCCTCTGAAATCTGTGGCCAGGTTCAGTTGGCTCATCCACCCAGTACAAACAGCTGCTTGGGTAGTGGATGTACAACTTCATTACCAGGAACTGCTCTTCGGCAGAAGGCAGTCATAGTGAAAAATATGTTAGAGGTTATTCCAAGTAAAGAGGCATTGCTGTTTTTGAAATGTTATCTCCCCATGCTCTGAGCACCACAAATGAAATTGTTCTACACACGTTGTACTGGGCTGGTGGCAGAAAGCTGTGAGGAAAAAAAAAATTAATTAGTGACTGTTTTTAATTTGCTGGTCCTCAAACAATTGTTTTTCTTCACTTCTGTTCTCTAATCTATCTTTGTATTTATGTGAGTCTGCTCCAGTGGTGGCATGTCTACATATAAATGCTAACACATTCAGTTCTGTTCCATGAGGTCAATATGAGCTATATTGAATTACAATGCTTTTCTCTGGCAGCATCTGAGGTGTTAATTTTCTTTGCATCTCTGCACTTTTCTTTCTCTGCAGTGATAAGTCCTGCATCGTGGCGAGAGGGCCAAAAGCTGGTAAAGATGGTACTGGGTCCAGTTCCCAAGCTGCCCAGGGAGGACAGGCCCCAGACAGCTGATGGACTGAGCAGAACAGGTGGGACCCAGAGACCTACTGTAAACTCTTCTATACATGCAACTACACCCCTGTCTTATATAACTCTGTGACCCCATTTATAATACAAACAGCCTATAATTCAGTCATCTCTGTTTCTCCAATGGTCCTCTTGCAACTCTAGACATACTGTCATTAACCAATGTGTCGAGCGGTTAAAAGAAAGTGTAAAGGACATAGACAGAAGAGGTGATTAGCCGTCTACTAGACTTTAAAGAGGCACTCAGAATGTATCAGTTAAGCTCAGCTGTCAGTGTCTTCTCTGCTTAATCACCAATGGATGAATTAGGGTTTATTCTTGACTTTCTACCCACCTCCTCCCCTTTCTCTGAGTCCTCATTTTTTAAATCTATTTTCCAATGTTGCGATTGAACTTTCAATTAAACATAGATTTCTTCACTCGCTGCTATTACCTGTGACTGAGATTATTCGTGTTATGGGATGATAGATATTTATGGTAGAAGTTTTGCATTTCTGGGACCCACAGTTAAACAGCAAGACTGACAACAGAGCCAGCCAAAGAATATCAATAAATAAAGAGTCTGTGACTGCTGCTGTACACACACAGACTGTGTGTGTACAGCAGCAGTCTCTCACTCTGTCTCACACTTTCTCATAACCACACACTATCTGCATCCACCTCTGTCTGTGCTAGCTGCATCTGTGCTGGGTACCACTGACCGTAAGGAATAGAGATTGACTGGCTGTTCTGGTTGGATTCACAATTAGACATGGCCTGATTTCCAGATGTTGCCCCAGTGCAGTCAGTACATACACTGGGGAATGGCAGAGTGGGGCAGGGAAGTGCAGTGAGGCTCACTGCAGCCATGCTCTGAAAAAAACACTGTCTGGATTAGATACTGTAAGTCTAGATGGGAATTTTCAATTTAGCCCAGATTAGAGTTGCCATGGCAAGCCTGCCCCACAAGCCTCATTTAGTATGTGTATTTGGTCTGGATCTAATGCTTTAGCTTTGAAGTTATTTTAAAACTGGTGTAGTCATTTGTTGGTGGAGCATCCAGGCATTTTGAGCTGTGAAAAACCTGTTTATTCCAAGTTCTGATCGAAACAGGAAAGCAGTTTTTTTTTAAGAGTACTACTAGTTAAGAATTTAAAGACTAGTCACACGGTTATACCAATGACTGTATAAATAATGAAACCGAATTTGAAATTTTATCTTTATTCTTAGCTTCTACCTAAAACTCTTATCTAAGCATCGGAGCTATTTAGCAGCATACCCTATGTTAGTTTGTGTGTACGTTTTTTTCCATTAATAAGTTGATTACCAGTTATCAACTTAACATTTTAACTTTCTGTCCACCAGCTTCCCATCGCCGTTCCAGTTCAGACCCGCGCTCAGAATCAAAACCACGGTCTCAACCTAACAGCACAGAAAGGCCTCATAGTGGATTCCGAGGGCACTCCAAAAGCCTTTCTACAAATACATCTACCCCTTCACCTGCAGATCGTGAAAGGGCCCCAGTGGGTATAAGCGCGGACCTGTTGTCAGCAGACATCCAAGGGATACTTGATGACCTTCAGCTGGAGTGCAAAGCAGCTGAGAAGGAGGAGAGGGTTCGTCAAAGGTCCCGGGGTGGGAGGAGTGGTAGGAGAGGTAGAGGGGGATCAGGGTCGCAAACAAGGACTCCAGTCTCTGCTTGGGGAACTACGTTTGCAATGGGTAGCTCCTCAAGAGGGTGCCGTAGTGCCAGCCCCAGTACACGCCGACCAGAGACTGCTAACATAGCTGACACAGGGCACAAAAAGCGTCACTATGATGCCGATACTGTTCGCCAGTACATTTCCAAGCAACAAGAAGAGAGAAAGAGGCGTCAAGCAGAAGAGAAGAGGGCACTGAGGGAAGAGGCAGAGAGAAGAAACCAGAGATTGCAGGAGCTCTACAGGAAGCAAAAAGTAGTGGCTAAGACAGTGGCCCTTCCCAGTGAGGCACCTGTGGCCCCTGTGCAAAAGCGACTACAGGAGACCTACAATAAACTGCTACTGGAGGAGGCCCAACTGGGCGACGAGGCCACACAGATGCAACCTGCTGCTCCTTCCAGTCAAATGGTATTGTACATTTGCACGAAACATAGTTATCTTATTTGTATGTCAAAGCTGTAGAAATGATACATTTCTAACGTGTGTGTTAACATGTGTTCTGCCACAGAGACCGATGTACCAGCCCTCAGGAGAGTCGGACAAAGAAAACAAAAGACTAGAAGCACCACAGAGCCCCTCAAGCAGTGATAGATCTTTGAATGACCAGCCACCTCCTTCATTATCCAGGTACACACATGCACACACATAAACTGCCAGAATAACAAACCCCATATACTCAGATTTATTGACATAGATAAACAACTAACAACTCAGCACACATAATCTGGTTTCTCCTGGGTGATAAATTCTAGCGAATCACCTGACTGCACAAAACAGAGAGACTGTTTGTTCCCAGATGGTTGGTTTTTATGCCCCAGAAGCCTTATTGCTCTGCGTTTTAGTACACGATTAAAGAAAAATACTTTTACAGTCACTGATCCTAGTTTAGATACATGAAAGAACATCTCAGATAATTGACTGGAAATAAATGTGTGTGTATCATGATTTTATTTGTGAAACATATAATAATAATAATAAAAATAATCATAATCTTAATTAATAATCTTTCTCTGTGTTTTCAGTGTTATTCTGGTGAATGCATTCATTCAAAAACTGTAGCTGTAAAAAACATTATGTTGCAATACATAAATGTGGTTTTGCATCTTGTCTGCGGTTATTTGCTGTATTCAAAATGAAAGTTGTTACTTTCTTAAGTAGCATGCATGATGAATACACCTACCTACATGTAGTTTGATCATTGTGTCAAAGCAAGCTGTATACATCTTTTTCCCTCTCCTTTTAACTTATCCATGCTTTATTTGCTCTCCCTATTGCAGGAATGATTTGGATGCTGGAGTTGCCTCTTTGCTTCAGCCTGACCATCTGAGCCCAGCTGTTCGACCTATGACTGGTCCCAGCAGCAGTGCACTAGCCCCTTTTGGTGACCATCTCCTCTCTCGGCTTCTCAGGCTGGAAACTGCAGTGGCAGCTTGTGACGTCCAGCACACCCAGCGGTCAGTCACAGTACCTACCAACAGGTCCAAGATGTCCCGCATTGAGGCCCTCAAGGCCACAGCCGCATCCCTCTCCAACCGCATAGAAAGTGAGGCACGGAAGCTTGCTGGGGAGGGGATCAACTATGGTACAGCAACTTCAATGGACGTGGATACTATTTTGGCACCTAGACCCTCTCAAGCAAATCCTGATGATGGACGCTGGGCAGAAATGGCTGCCACAGAAAATAATGACATGGCATTCCAGAGGGTCCATAGGATTTTGACTAGCACAGGTCATAGTTCATACAATGGCACATCTCTTCCAGGAGCAGGCAATCTGCATGCCCTCAGGGGACAGAAAGAAACGAAGGGTACACACACCAGTTTGACTGATCCACAAACACCCCCTGCTGATCTAACAGGCACTATTCTTAACAGTTACACACATGAAAGGAGGAAGCTAGTCAATGGCTTGGAAAAGGTAGAGAGAATGGATAAAATGGCACAAAGGAGAGGATTTGGATTAACAGAGGATAAGAATCAGACAGATCTCCATGACTCAAGTGCCGGTTCCATCAGTGAGGGTCCTCTTCTGAGTGAAGGAAGTTTTTCTGAGGATGAGACAAGCCCTCCTCACCCCTCCAGCAATCGTGTAACTAGAGCAGCAGACTGCCTGGAGGCAGTGGACTACTGTGCTGGTCAGAGAAGGGATTACCACCGTTTGTCAGAGTTCCAGAGGGAGGCAGTGAGGTGCTCGGCCCTCAGCTCACCCTTTGCACAGCATGATGGCAGCAAAGCAGCATGGGAGGAGCTGAACAGAGGAAGCCCTCTAAGTGTTATCAACATTTTCACTAAGAACCTTCATGGCCATGTTAGAGGTTAGTTCACATTTGTCTACCTTTCCACTAAGGAAAATATGTCAGTCAGGTTTTGAACACAAATTTTTGTATTTGTGGTTAATACAGCAAAAAAAAGAAATGCTGTTGTTACTTTGTAGCTTATCTATGTGTAAACTGAAAAATGAAACCATGCACAGAATGTTTGTCATTTTAAACTGTAGTGGTTAAACTACAAACACATACAACGTAGAGACAGTCTACGGCAAGTTCCTAAATAGTCATCCTCTGTCTGTTCTATCTCCCAACTTATCCTACAGTGAGTGAGAGGAACTCTCCCCCTGCCCATTCTTTGCACTCTGAAAGTGGGCCCGTAGACGCAGCAGTCTATGAAGATGACTTTGTTTCATCCCATAGCAGCGGAGCCAGTGGGCAGTTAAAGAGAGCTTCCAATTCACGCAGGTAAGAGAAATAAAGTGAACATTAGTTTTTAAAGTGACCACTGGATGGCATCCATGTCACACAGCTTCAGCTTTCAGATGGCAACTCCCCTCTGTTTGCAGGCTTAGAATGAGGAGTAACTGATATAAAAACTTCCAGATAGATTAACCCTGCTGTTTAGTCCACGTTCATAAGACATAAGGTTTCCTGCTTTTGATTTTTTTGTGTAGTCAAATTAAAAATTTTATTTAAAAGTGATTTGATGATATGTTTCTTTTTTTCTCCCGTTTGTCAGCGTGAACAATCATTTTGAGGAGCTCATGAGGAGGTCTCCTTATGAGAAAAGCATAGGAGGTGTCAATTCACACCATTCATCCTTTCACTCATCTATTCACTCACCGCATCTTTCCTCTGGTTCACCATCTGGCTCCTCACCCAAGCACTCTGCCAGAAAAAGAGGTGAGAACTAAAATTTTACATAATTTCCTGAACTTTCAAGATATTCTTTGTTTTCCATATGGTATGGGCTGGGTATCTTTCCTCCTTGACTTCGATACTGGTTCCTGAACTCTATTGGATACCAATTTTATAAATTTAATTTCAACATTATACATTATGGTACAAATCACTTACTCACTTCAAAAGAGGAAGCTGTTCCAAGACCTGGGAGCAGTTGGCAAAACTGTTTTTACTCTGTGCACTTTACTCAGCCTGGATAACTGGACTAAAATGATGAAATAAAACTGAATCTGTATAGTATGGGACTATATATAAACTATAAATGTCTAAGGAACATTATTAACAAACAGTATGGCACAATAGGAGAGGAGGATATGCCGCAGTTTTCATCCCAGTGAACGATTAGTTGAACTAACTCACCAACAAGCAGATACAAGTTAGCTGCACTGGCTAGCTAACAAACAGCACAAAGTTCACTAGTAGTCTGTGAACAGTGTTTCTCATGCTCGCCTACAACGTGTAATGTTAACACTCCATTGTTATTGAATGGCAAGATATAATTGAACTACTCAATTTCTCTACAGGCACAGCATCAGACCAGAGTGATGCCACTCTGGTGGAAGAACAGAGGAGCTCCTGCTCACCTCCCTCAGTGGCATTATCATCTGACTCCAGGAAAAGGGGCTCAGACAAAAGCTCTGCCCACAGCCAGGCCACAAGTGTCCACTCTAATGACACTTCAGGAGAAATTTGTCACCAAAGGTAATAATTGTTCTGAAAGCTTTAAAGGGGCACTTTATTTGTATTGGTTTAGTGAAGTGCGGTAAAAGTAAAAAAAAAAAAAAAACTTTCCACCTGTAAGGTTTCACTGTGATTGTTTTCAGCATCTCTCAGATATCAAATTGAAGATACTGCAGTGTTATCAGAGAGTTGGATCAATGGTGCATGGTGTTCCCACAAGTTTAAGTTACCCATAAATCCAGTTGTCTCTGGTATTTCCTTCCTTCCTGGTTTTCAGTAACCTTAAGTTCAACAGTGCTTTGTGTAAGTGGTGGTGCTGTTGGCTTACATAGAGATATTTTCTTATGCTGTATATAGATATAGTAGTTATATAGTATGTTTGTTTTAGGGTCACAGATTGTATTTCTTTATTTCCCGGTGCTTATTTGATTTATAAATTGGAACTTTTGTTGTGACTGTATACAGATAAAGTAATTAACTATAATTAAAGTAATATTGAAATTAGCCCATGAGGCCACACCATTTCCTTCCATAAGTATTTCCAAACTAAACTAAAATGGAATTTAAATATCTATGTGCTCTGGGATGAATGGGATCTTTTCAGCAGTGGGTTGTTTCAGTTGTTACAGTTACAACCACTCAGAAACCTCCACTTGGTATATACTATAATTACCCAAAGGTTAATTTATCTGGGCATGACCAATTACTAACCTACACTTAGAGAACCCTAGTTCAGGCTGCCAGTCTAAACAGTCTTGTGGCTTGCTGTTCTGTTGAAGGCCTAAGGGTTTAAGCAGCCGTGTAGTGCCCAGCAACAGGAGGCAGCTGCAGTTCAACCCAAGACAGAAAACACTGGTTGTTTTGTTTTGGGGGCCTGCAGGGTGGTTGGTTGGGTCAGCCAGTTTCACCACAGCTTTGGCCTGCTGCCAAAGGAAAGGAGAGAGTTCTTTTTTCTTTTAATCTCAGTGCCCAGTAGTGACATATGAGCCTTCTAATGGTACTCTAAAGCCCAGGTAGCAGATTCCTGCCACTCTGTGGAGCCTGTGTGTCTTGCATGATAAAGGTAAAACATGCAGACTGGATTGTGTCCTCCTTAGCCCCTTTTACAAAGTAGGTTGTGGTGACTTTGTTTCTGTGACACACTGTCTCAAAAACAGTTTCTTTTATAGACAGTGCATAGAGGTCTCTGTAGTCTTTTGGCAAACTGCATTCATATCTGTTTCTGTTCATATTACAACCGACTAAGCAAGATCATGGTCATATTGTTGTATTATGATATATTTATTGAGTCTGATCGTTGTCATGGGATAAAAAAGGTGCCAATGTCTACTATCCTTAATGGGAATGTAGAGTGTATCCTGATCTCTTTAGACTTTGCCCTTGGCCTCTGATCATCTCTGAGCAGCACAATAAAGCCATTCATAGTCTGGGCCTCTCACAGCCAGGTTATGCTGCTTCAGTTAGTTTTAGGGTTTGCAGGAGCAGGGGCCCCCTCTTTTTTTTTTATCATTTGGTCAACCTACTCCTCTTTTCAGAATAGTCAACCCACTCTGTAAAACTTTGTAACATGCCACTTTCCTGTGTACAATTTAAAAGTCTAATATAGAATTTAATAAAAAAAAACAATTAAAGAAATGTGTTATACTAAATGTCTTAATATATGGTTTAACATATTAAAAAGGGATACCTATGCACCAAGGCAACCTGAATGCTACAAATGTATGCACTTTAGAGGAGATGTTTAATTACTTAACTTTTCTTTCTTCTTTCTTTCTCTTTCTAAATATGTTTCTAGTTTGGGAATTGACAGTAGGAAGTCTTCAGCAGTCAGGACCAAACAGGCCTCTCCTTCTGGCTCTCCAGACCCTGGTTCTCCTCCAGGAGCAGATTCTCTCAGTGAGCCTTTGAGAAGTGGCTCTCTTGCAACAATTAACCCAAGCACAGGCACCATAGCTCGCAACGGTAGAGCAGACACCAAGGCCACAGGTAAATAAATCTAATTTTAATATAATAAACAACATGAAGCATAAGTCACAACTGCAAAGATAACGACAGAACAGATGTAACTATGTTTAAAAGTTGTAAACTTTACTGTGTACTTTTGTACTCTTTACGTGTGAATCTTGTTATTCTCAAGGGGTCCACATTTCACCAACAGCCCCGTTTATTAATCCCTCTCTCTCTCGCCCTTTCTCCCAGGTGAGCTACAGTATTCCCCTGCTGTCTTGCAGCAGCGCATGGCAGCAGAGCTCCAGTACTTGGAGTCCATTGAAGAGTCAGTCCGACAGCTGGGGGATGTGGAGAGGCTGATGGGTGTGTCTATGGCTCAGCAAGAGAGCGCATCATTGGCCCAGATGCTCAAGGTGAAGAACGATTTTTGTCGCTGCGAGCAACAAAAATGTGTAGATAAGGACTATGAAGGGGCTCTGTGTCTAGCTCTGTCTAACATGCTTTCATAGCAGGAGTTGTATTATGTATTATGCCATATTCTGATGCCACAAAGTGATGAATTCACATTTTGCACATAGCTTAATATTTTGATAATTGTCAGACAGCACATACTCTGTGTGCTTTTATGTATAAATATGGTGAACATCTGCACTTGACATAATGTTCCTTACAAATGTGAATTACGCATTGTTAAGTATTTCCCAAATTATTATTGATGCTGCATAGCATTTACATGATAAATACTTTAAGAGCTTTTTGGCCTCCATAAATTTCAGTGACTTACTACCTCACTAATGTCTGTATTGATACACTGTATTGACCTGCTCTCTGATCTTTGACCCTGCAGGTCAAGCAGCAGCGCCATGAGCGTGACCTCTACGAGCTGAAGATCAAGGCTGAAAGGGAAGCCCTGGAGACACAGCTACAGCTGGAGGAAAACAGGCAGAGAGTGGCCAGGGTAAAACGACACATGCACACATACACACACAGTTCATCAGTTTACTCTCACCAATGCTATATATGTTCGTTTGTAGATGATAGATTTAGTGTTTGCTTCCCCGCCTTTTGAATTCCAAGGTATGAGTACTTTTATTTTTCTGAGCTTATGATGTCAATGCTTGATTTTTCCAGGCTCATATTGAACTGCAGGAAAGCTTGGCTGGAACTCAAAAAGAGACTTTGGAGGGGCTCCAGGAAGCAACTACAAAGATGATGAGTCAACAGGCTGAGGCAGCACGGTACACAGCCGACACTGCCCGACACATCATGGAGGTTAGTAATCACTGCCTTTAACTCTGCCTGGAAAACGTCCCGTGTGTTCATTTTGTAACAAAAGCTGATTGACTGTTGAGTTTCAGTAAAGATATAACAATAAATGCAGAGGAGGAAAGCGTAACATCCAGTGTAAGAAACATCAAATCAATCATTTCATCTGTGTATTGTGTTCTTGTCTGTCAGATGACAGAACTGGCTCGGTCACAAATAGCAGGAGCTTTGGTTGTCCCCCCCGTTGCCACCGATTCCTCCATGTTGGACAAGCGGGAAGAACAGCAGCAACAGGAAAAAATAGACTCTGACAGGTAAACTAAAAACACTTGCATACTGCATTTCATTGTGAATAAATTTACAAATCTCTAAACCCCACTTGGAGATTTGGAAGGTTTCTTTGTAGAGATGTATATGTGTGTGTATGTATCAGCATTCTCCACTGCTCTAACTGTTTATGCCTCTTCTGCATGATCTCTTACAGCTTCCAGAGTGAGTTGTCAAGCAGAAGGATCAGGAAAGAGGAACCCCTGTCTTCGCTGAACAGCCTTAGTCACTCTGACTCTCTATCTTTCAGAAGACCCAACCTCAGGTACCAGTCATAGCTCTAATGTAGCACTACTTTCACTGTTTTCCATTACATTTGGGGAAAAGAGAATTCTAAAGAGACATTATATCTGTCCTTCGTCCACTTCCTCAGTGGAGTAGACTCTAATAGCCACCACAGCCCGTCGCATGTCTCCTCGGACCTCAGAGAACGGACGAAAAAAGAAGCAGTTGAGGGGAAATGGAGCAAGGGAGGACAGAGGACGGAGAAGGAAGCAGTCAGCAGCTCCATCGAAGACGAAGTTCTTACAGCAGCAAATGACTCCCTCTGCAGTGACAGCTTCCCCTCTGTAGTGGATGAGAAAGGTATTGTATGGCAAGCGCTTAGTTTTTGTGTCACCACAACTGTTAGGGAAAATGTGGAAACCTTATTGCCATCATTTAATCTGTACTCACCCAAAACTGTGTGTACATACAGGTCTACACAATAAAGTGGATACAGTTAAAGATTTGCAGTGTACACTGAGTTTCTCTTATTTTTGTCCCTCTAGGGGACAGTACTTCAGTGGCAACAGAGTACTCTCTTAAATTTGATGAGTCCATGACAGAGGATGAGATAGAAGAGCGCTCCTTCCGCTCTCTGCTGCCATCTGAAGCGCACCGTCGTGGAACTAAGGAGAAGAAATCCCGCCACCACGAGGAATCAGAGGACGATGGATCCAATTACAACACAACATTGGTTTCAGGGGCACACAATATCTTAAAGGTGAGAAGGCAGTGTTTGCCAACACATAGCCTTATGAGTTAGTGGTTGATAATGGAAGGAGGGTGGGACCACTGATGCTGTGATTTGTTCCCTAAAAAGTGTGACTACTTGATTTTTTTGCCTGGATGTTCCATGTTCCGGCATGTGGTTTGTGTCCCTCTTTACTTGTTTCTTGTTTTCCTTTGATCCCCTTTCAATCTCCTTTCCTTTTTTAACTCGCCCTTCCTGTGGATCTTTACTGTCACCCCAGTCTAACTCAATTGTTTCACCTTTGTTCTCCTGCAGTCTCAGGATGCAAACATGGCCTTTTCTGGTGGACAGGACAGCTTTTCCCAGTTCACTATGGACATGGTGCGTCAGTACATGAAAGATGAAGAGGTAAGACTGCAGCATCAGAGCTCTTTGCTGCGTCTTCGCCAGAAAGCTCTCAAAGAGAAGACAAGAACTGAGCTGGCCTGGCTAGAGCACCAGAAGAAGCGGCTGAGGGACAAGGGAGAGGATGACAAAATGCCACCTATTAGGAAGAAGCAGAGGGGGCTTCTGTTGAAACTACAGCAGGAGCAGGTACATGTCGGTGGAAACATAATGACATGAAGTAACAATTAACCTTTGGGCTATACTGTAATCCTAATTATTATTATTATTATTATTATTATTATTATTATTAACTTACCAACTTTCTCCCTCACTGTTTCCAGGCTGAGATCAAGCGACTTCAAGAGGCCAACAAAGCAGCCAGGAAGGAAAGGCAGCTGTTGCTGAAGCAGCAGGAGGAGATAGAGCGGATGAGAAACTCAACGCTGAGACTAAAGGAGCGTCTCAAGAGTGCTGGGGGTGAAGCACCACCTGTAAGTAGTGCAACAGTCACTAATCACACCCTATACATAGGAACAGATAGTTTTAAGCAGTTTCATTTCGGTACTATTTGTTCTACAGAAGTAGAATCTTAACAGTATCAAAGAAATATACTTATAACTGTATAACATTTATTGGCTATACTAATAATTGGCCTGTGTGCATGTCCATTCACCCATCCTCAAGGAGACTCCTGTGTCAGAAACCCCTATGTCTGAGGCAGCCTCCTCCAACATGAGACATGCTGAGGATATCCGCAGCCCCTCCCCCTCACTCTCCATCTCTGGAAGTGAGACTAGCAGCATCATGCAGAAGCTCAAGAAGATGCGCTCTCACATGGACGAGAAGTAAAGACTTTCATTTAATTTTTTATGTATTTATCTGGTTCTTTCCGCTCCCTGATCAGGTTTTCAGTTATTTTTTTAAAAATTTTTTCTTACTCATTTTTTGCTGCATTTTGGCCCCTTATCACAATCTGAGTCCTTAATGTGTTGATACAGACTTTGACAGCGTATAAAAGTCAGAGATGTTATAATTCAATACTTCTGGTCTTTACCTGAACTAGCAACTAACCTAATTAAAACTAATCAGTGCTTGCCATCTTTCTTTTGCTGTCTAAAATACTGTGGATGTGTGAGTGTGTGTGGATGTGGATGTGAAGATAAGCATGCTCCATGTTATTCTTCCTCTAAACTAGACAAGTATCCTCTGCAACAGTATCCCTCTTAACTTCATTTTTGTACAAACTATAACAAAACATTGTAGGAGAATCCGTAGTAAGAGAACATCAGACAATATTAAACTGTAAATACTGTAAATATTTGTAACACTATGTAATTTTAATACTGCAACTTTCAATTACAGAGGCATAATTATTTTCTACATAAGACAAACTGTAGGTTGTGTATTCTATCATTTATAGTACACCCACTTCCTTGTGTGTTGGCTACTAACTACATGTGCTTGGAGTAACTGTAGGTCCCCCAAGGTTTTAGACTTGGCTAAGAGCTGTGGTCAGATGATTGTAGAGCCTCACATGACCGGGTAGCTCCAACAAGTGGGTTAATTGTTCTGGGTTTTAGGATTTATAACTTGGTTATAAATCACAGGCCAATCTTCTATGGTAGCCTTTCAACAACTTATACAGTAGTTCTAGATTTGTTTAAATTTATACAAGCAGCCCAGTTGTGAATTGTTTGTGTTCATATTAATTTTAATGCATTATGTAGTTCAAAATCTGTTGTTTACATATTTGTGTCTGATCATACATTTATTGGCTTGCTTGCTTGCCATGACTATCAGTTGTCTCTTCCCTTCTCTCGGCTGTCACTGCTGTCCTGCTTTTAATCATAGCCAAAGCAAATTAATACTACATATTCAGCTTCACATGCTAACACACTAACAAATGTGTTATAGCTTCATCTAAGGCTGTAACTGTTTGTAATCTCTTTTAAGAACTATTGAATCTTAAATCTATAAATTAACCCCCTTCATACACAGGTTTTGCATTGATCATACTCCCAACCAGCCCCCCCTCACGCTCGTTTAAATGTTCATGTTTTTCCAAAACATTTTTAAAAGTATCCATTTTCTAACAAAACACCTGACAGACTGACACATTGGGTGCAATAAAACCACATTTGCTCATATCTCTCTTCTCTCTCCCTTTCTCTCTACGTGTCGTTTCCCTCTGTGTTTTAATGTGTTCCCCCCTCTTACATTGTGTGTGTCTGTGTCTGTGTCTGTGTCTGTGTCTGTGTCTGTGTTGTGTGTGTGTGTGTGTGTGTGTGTGTGTGTGTGTGTGTGTGTGTGTGTGTGTTTCCATACCCATGTTTGTGTGACTCTTTTGACTTTGTTGCGTGCTTGTGTGTTGTAGACACTGTTCTCCTGTCCACTACTTCTTCTCTGTGTTCACGGCCCACCACTGGGCCTCCCTCAGTGTCTGTCTTCCCAACCTCCACCCTAAATTCCAGCTCTTTATCTACAACCAGTTGGTCAGGTACTGTACAGTGCTCTCTACCTCTTCCCCAGCACCTCCACCTAGCCCTGCCTCACCCCACCCCACCCCACCCCACCCCATGGAACATGCTTGTGTTCATCCACTGGCACTGGGCCCTTGTAGGGGTGGGATGGTGAATGATGAGTGATTGAATGTGTTTGGGTTCTCGATTTTTTTGTCTATTTTGAATTTCCAGGATGGAATATGTGGGGGGAGGAGTTTGATTGAAAGCTCAGGGAGTGCCCAAGGAAAGCTGCCTCATTGAAATAAGCTAACCTATTGACAACTTCACTTTTAATATAATTACATTTTAATACCACTGAATATATTGCTACTAGTGTGTGCATTAAAGCACACTGGTTGTGGACGAATTTTAAACACAAAAGTGCTTACATTGAGAATATGAGAGATGTGATAAATTCATTTTTGTGAAAGTTAAAGGTTATGTTTATTTTAATAGGCACCTTCCTTGTTGGGAATCGGAATCTCAGACTCAGTGCTGTGATTTCGGAGGTGTTTGATTTGTGACTTTTCCTTTTGTTCTTTCTTGCCTCCTGAATGAACGACACAGTGCATCTTTCTTCAGTGTCTCTAATATTGTTGCTTCTGGCTGGTCAGCTCCTGCCGAGTCATCGATACAAAATGTTTTGAGATTAAACCGCACTATGACATGGAAGTAAAATACTTTTGCAGAGAACAGACCGGAGATCGAGTGGTCTATCTCTTTAATGAGACCAGTAAATCTTAACTAGCCCTCTTTATTAGGTAACTGTTGCATAGGATGGGATAATAAGTACAGATGGCCATTGGCTTATAATAGGGTTTGGGAAGGCACTAAAAGAACCCCCCAGCCTGGGTCTTCGGTATCTTGCCTGTCATCAGTATACATTAGGTCAAGAGAAAGGCCTCTAAATTAGATCAAGGCTAAATAATACTGCACTGTAATGGCACCCAAAGCTGTGGGAGACCACATTACACAACAGCTATACCTGACTTTATAAGCATCTGCAGAGATATGTATATATAAGAGGCCCAGTGTAGGTTAGATTTTAGAATTAAAAATTGTGTTGGCTTTGCAAGACAACAGAAGCCTTGTGTTTATGTCTCGTTAGCCTCATTGGTCAGGGGTGTACGGGTAATTGAGGTGTGTGTGTGACTGCACCCAATCAGTGTTCAACCCCTGGGTTTCAGTCTGATGCATGAATCTGACATCTTCACTGTTATTTTCCTGCTCCTCTTTTCTCCTGACTGACATGTCATCACTTTATGTTTGTTTATTCGATGGGTGCTTGTACACTTCTTTATTTGGATGATTATTCCAGGGAAAGAAATAAGTAAAGCATGTACTGGGTACGTATGTGTGTATGTTTGCTTCTCTGAGTGTTGGACAGAGGTTTGAGGTGAGTTTGCAGTGATAACTGGATGTCCAGGTGATGCGGGTCTACTTGCTTCTGCTATGTCATTCCTGATGCTAAATGTCTTTCTCCTACTTCTTTTCTTTCTCCAATCATCTTCTTCCTGTATCTTCCCTCATTCCCTTACCTTTCTTGTCCCCATCTTCTCCAATCTCCCTTTTCAATCTCTCCTCTTTCCACTGCTTCCTGATCTCTCTTTATTCTCTTCTCTCTTCATTCTTAACACCCCCTTCCCCAGGTTCCTGACAAAGCGGGAGCAGCAGCTAATGCAAAGACGTCACCATGCCGAGGAGCTGCTGCAGTGGAAACAGCGGCTGGACCAAGAGGAAGCAGAGGTCCGTAGGATGGAAAAGGAGGCCCTGGCTGTATGGGATAGACAAACACCTCAGGACAAGGACGTGGCAGAGAGTCAGAAAAAGGAGATCTCTGACATCAGCCCCAGTCACCATCTGAGCTCAGAGCCAAGAACTGACAGTGAAAAAGGTGAAGCAACAGGATCCTTGGTGGTTTTTGCCAAGTTTAAAGTCAAAAGCAAAATAAAAGAATAGTGGAATGTAGGAAATATATTACGGTTTGGGAATAAGGTCAATCAATGTGGATGAAAATTACGATGACTTCATTTTAATCTGTTTTACATGTTTTCAGAGTATGTGAGTGAGGGCGACTCGGCAACACCCGAGTCCAGTATACACACAGAGGGACTGGGGTCCCAGCAACCAGGAAGCCCATCCTCAGTACAACCTGCATCAATCCCTGAAACACCTTTGACCTCCGTCCAGAGTAGCCCCGCAAATTACACCCAGGACTTCTCTTCAGCTTCCCAGTCACCTAGCAGACAAGTACGCTTAAATGTGGTTTTCTTTCCTTGTTGTATTTTAGCATTTAGTCCCATCTCTTTAGTTAATTTTGAGCATAGATAGTGCTGGTCGAAAACTGACCTGAAGTTTGCTGTCATGAACAGGTTTCAGTCAACTTCAACTTCATTCAAAAAAATTCTCTTTTGAAGCTGTTGGGTTATTTGTAATTAAACTTTATATTGTGCGGGACGTGAAAGGGGGTAACTACACCATTGTTAGTTTACTGTACATGTAAAATATTAATACAGATATACCTCTATGAGTCCTATGATGACTGTGTTGTTATATCCTCAAGTAATATTCCTTTCTCTTCCCCTCCTCCTCCTTCTGTTCACTCTCTCCAGTCTCCATTTAAAGGCAGCCACAGCCCTGCTGCCTCTCCTTCAGACGGAAGCAGCAAAACCAAGATGCAGCTTCGCTCTTCCTCCCGGACCGCCAACCTGGCCCACGCTCAGCCAACTGACTCCCCAATGGCTACGCAGACTGGTGAGTTACCCAATGAGTCAACACACAGACACTGAATATTTAACATTTTTGGAGTGTATAGTGTAATAGTTCTTGATAGTTCTCAGAGAAGATAGAAAGGGGAAGGCAGAGATAGTGGACATAATGCAGCTATATTGCTGGCACTGTGTAGTCAGGCATAATGTGATGCTGCCAGGAATACATTATGCAAGCACTTCCCTGATACCTAACCTGCTTAGCTGTGTGATAGGAGGAGAGAACACTTTGCATTGCACTTAGTTATCACATAAGCAAAGACAGTTTTGCTGGCTTAGTATTGTAGCTGAATGTGTTTTATTCAGTTTGAGGCCACTGTTTAAACCTTTTAATCTTTCTAATGCCGTTTGTTCATTGCATACAATCCAAAGCAACATGCACAAAATATAACACTTTAACACATTCTTGGTAAAGAAAATGTACACTAATCTCCAAAGAATTGGGTTTGAGTTCAAGTGGGCACAAAGTTGGATTACTCTTTGCTAATCAGAGGTCTGGCACTGGTTTCACATTCTAACTGTGGTTTATCATCTAAATTTGCCTTCAGAACCCATTTCAGACCAGAGTGACATAGAGAGCCGTATCAAGGCCCTGAAGGAAGAACTCAGAAAACGAAAGTTTATGGCCTACCAGCTGAAGAAAGAGCAGAAGAAGAGGCACAAGGAGCGCCTGAAGGCACAAGAGGCCAGTCTACTGAAGCAGCTGGAGGTAAGTGTGTGTGCTGTGTGTGTGTGTGTGTCTGCGTGTGTCTGTGTGTGTGTGTTTATCCATGTACCGTTAAAGCAGATTTCTTCATATCTTAACTGTTATTCACCTGTTTTCCTGTCAGAGCTATGATAACTTCATTGAGAAAACTAAGGCAGAACTGAACAAGGGGCCAGATTCAACACCTGATACAAAGTCCGTGATCAAAGATTCCACCTCAGTTGCGGAGCAGTCCAGTATTAAACTACCTACTCACAGGTATCAAAAATGCCTGTAAACATGACACTCTTGTGCCAACATATCTACTGTAATATAAGTTAGAAAAGATTAGTGTTTAATTAAAATCAAATCCCTCTTTTTCAGGTCTGAAACCAGCAAAATCTCTGGCTCTGAAAGGATGCGAACTGATACTTCATTAGACCACAGTGAGTTATGTACTCATCATAACCATTACATACATTTCTTGCTGTATTTATTTTAAAAAATGTGTTTTGACATAGATGTTCCAATAATAATGTAACCCTTTCCTATTATGACAGATGCCCTTCCTCAACCTGATCATAGTAGATCTACCTCAGTGCCTGAAGAATTGTCTGATGAAGACCCACCAACAGTCACTCCAACCCCAGTGTATGGCAGCCCAGAGTGTCAGACTTCAGGACTGAGGAGCCACCTGTTCACAGAGGGGCTTATACGACCTTCCTCTAAGGAAGACCAGGCACAGATTATTGAGTCTGGGGATGAGAACATTGAGTCTTATCAAAGATCTTACGTTCAGGAAGAGCTGGAGGTCGAAGTAAGCTCCAAATCTGAGGATCAACATTCTCAATATCTTCTCAAATTAGAAAAAGAAGACAGACTTGACTCCCAGGAGAAGCTGCCTACATCTAAACATGTTTCCTCTTCCATGAGTGAAGAACATCGACATTCTCCATCTGTAAGCCTGGAACAAGATAAACAAATAAAGACCAGGGAAACATCTGAAGCAGAGGAAGCTGTAAAATCGAATGCCTCTAATGGGTTACTTTCACTTGCAGTGGACCTCAAACCCTCACCACATCCAAGCTACATCTCCTCATTTAGTGACCATTCCTACTCCCCTGACTCGGTTGCCTTCTCTTCTAAGAAGGAGGCACCCATAAAGGATGTGGAGGTATCTTCTCCCATAGTGGAGGGTTATAATGATGACTTCGAGTCATCAGTATATTCTTCACCCAGGGAGGAGCATCATAGTTCCAAGCCTGCCTCTCAAATCTCAGTTTCACCTACTGAGATCAAGGGCTTGAGTAAGGACTCCTCTCCCCCTCTCTATGACAGCCAAGATGAGGAGGTAGAGGAAGAAATAGATGAAGAACTGAGTCACCATTCAGGGATTAGTGGAGCTAGCCACCAATCTGAGCGACTGCTAGATCTTCATAACCAAACAGAAGACTCTAAACATGACAGCAAGGACATTGCTATTTCCAGCCACTCACCACCCATCTCTCCTATGCAGACCCCGCTCTCTCCTGTCATAGATGAAATGTCAACTTTTAACATTGGAGATCGGGTTCTTGTTGGTGGCGTTCAGCCCGGCACTCTGAGATTCAAAGGTCCTACCAGCTTTGCCAATGGTTTCTGGGCTGGTGTAGAGTTGGATAAGTCTGAGGGGAGCAACAACGGCACTTACGATGGGGTGGTGTACTTTGAATGTGATGATAGCCACGGTATCTTTGCTCCCCCAGACAAGATCACACACCTGCCAGACAAGTTTGAGATCTACACTGACACCACAGAGGATGAGGACTCATTCTTTGATGATCTGTCAGATAAAGGTGGGGATAAACGTAAAACAGATGAGGACAGATCCCAAAAAGAAGGAAATCTGAAGAGTGAAAATGAACAAACAACTCATAAGGTATATGGGTCTGGAGATAAAAAGGTTACAGATGAGTCTGTTCACAAGGCTGAATCTAATCTCAATTCACATAATTACAACGAATCCAAGCATCCCATCTCTAATGGCAACTCTAGAGACATCATTTTGGATTTTGAAGATGCACCAACCACCCTCCTCATCTCCGACATAGACAAGATCTGCCTGGGGAAGCAGAGTCAGAAGGAGATAACTACCATTGAAGAGAGAGAAGACATGGACTCACAACACCAGTTTACTCCTGCAGATCTCACAGATATCGGGGACGATAAGGGAGAGCAGAAAGACAAAGACATACTGGACACATTTGCAGACAAGCTCCTAAACAACTTTATGAAAGACACTGTGAAGCAGTTTTCTGAAATTAAAAAGGCTAAAGAGCAGAAGATAGAAGCTGCCAACCAGATGAATGGAGACCTGTTTGGTGAAAATGAAGAGTGGTTCTCTTCAGTGGATCAAAAAGATGGTCTCCCCTTCTTCCTGCCTGCAGAAAAAGAGGAGCTGTCTTCTCCAGAGCTGTGTAACCGACCGGTGAGTGTGTATTTCTGATTCTTTAGTAACCTGTTAATAAAAATCAAAGCTAAAGTCAAGCTAAAGATAACTATATTTTATATCTATGTATTTTATATCAAAGACATGAGTAGATTTATCACTATAAGTGAACAAAAACAACAAAATGTGCTGTACATGATTGAACTGTGGAATTTTCATTGTTGGGAAATCAGATGTGACATAAAGTTACTGACAAACAGTACTTGTTGATTTGACCTGGAGAACCTTTGTTGTTGGTGTGTGTTCAACCAAAGTCCAACTTTATGTTGACTTTGGAATTTTCTTCTCTGTACTGAAAACCTCTGGTGTCTAAAACATCGGAAAGAAAAATACTAAATCCATGTATCAATGTAAATCCATGGTTTATAATCAGACTTGTTCTGTTGTTTTTCTGGATAGACGCGTTTATGGAATGTTCTAATCTAAAACTGGAAGTCAGCATGAAATTAACTTCTGCCTGTATTTCTTTCACTACAGGAGAGTCCAGTGTTGGGGGCCAGCGGTCAAGAGGAGCTCGCCAAGCGACTAGCAGAGCTGGAACTGAGCCGTGAACTGCTAGATGAGCTTGGTGACGATGAGGACTGGTTTGATGAGGACTTTGGCCTCAGCTCCCGTAGAGAACAGCAGAGACTCAAACAGAAACAGAGAGAAGAAGAGGAAGAGGCGAGGTTGGGCAGGTCTGGCTCATCAGCTGGAGCTGCCCTGGGGGGGCTAGTCTCATCACCAGGTGGGGAACAGCAGGTGAAGACTCCACCTAGACCTGAGTTGCCCCTGCCCTTGCCCCCCAAACTCCCTGAGCAGCCTGCCATGGTGGTGCCCCACTCAGCCATAGAGGTGGAAAAGATGGTCCATGCTGCCACTCAGGAGATCTGGGAGAGCTGTGGCCTGGGGAAGGAGGGAGCACTGACCCTTGCACAACTGCCAAACCCCAAACCTTCCCAAGAGTATCTGGGTAAAGAGGCCAGCAGCCAGGACCAGGAGGCCCTCTCCATCTGCAGCTACAGAAAGGTGAATGTGACAACTTTCAAAACATCTAGTCTGTATAATAAAGATAGCCGTACAGAAACTGAATGCAAGAACTTTAAAACCCCAATCTGTAAAATCGAAAAGAAGGAAGACAAGCATCCTTTTCATTAGGGTCGGGTACCATTCACACTGGAACCAGTAACGGTACCCAACGGTACCTTTTTCTGTACAAAAAAGTATTTAAAGTGGTAAAAAATAAGTCCAAACTCCTGTTGCTGTTGCTGTTGCAGTGCTTGCGTGCTGTAATATTTCCCAGGAAAACGTGCAACTTGCGTACTGTTGGTTTCACATTAAGGTTTCGGACTTACTAAAAAATATCACACAACCCTACATAATAATCACAATAATCATGTCGAGTTGATCAACACACCTCCAACCATCATAACCTGAAGAGCAAATCTAACCAGGGTACCTTTCCAATTACATTTGTGATTTTAAACTGGCATACTAACCTAATATTAACCTCTTACTGGAAATCATGAGAAAGTTTTAGAACGACACAGACGCAGAGTGTCCCCGTAACCATAGTAACTCACTCACTCCTGCCTGCACACTGTGTGAGAGGAGAGGGAGGCACTGACTCTGGTCTGTCTGTCAACCAAGACAGTCATAAATGCCCCGTTATCTCAAGCACAAACGTTGATGTCTGACTTAAAGTTTCATCGTACGTGTAGGGTTCAACTTCGGTGCTGTGTGGCTGCTAACGTTATACTCTTCAGCTTTTAGATATATTTCAGGTTTGACCAGGTGTGTCCTCAGGTTAGATGTGTACCTGGGCCAGCTTTGCATTTTGCATTTTGCATTTCACAGTCTGTCCTGACTCACTGTGACTTGAACCAGCTGTAGGCTCTCTCTCTCTCTCTCTCTCTCTCTCTCTCTCTCTCTCTCTCTCTATCTATCTATCTATCTATCTATCTATCTATCTATTTACTCTCCCTTACTCTTTCACCCAGATGCACTCTCAGGTACTGAAATTTGGCACCATTTGATTTAACGCAAATCTGTGCTTGGTGATACCAACGTAATTCAGTCGGTACCCTTGAAAGTACAGTTTGATACCCAACTCTACTTTTCATCCCCCTACCAGTCATGCAGCACACAGCTGTCCTGTTTCAGTTGTACTAAGCAAACAGCAGCTGTTGTCTTGAAGACGGCACTTACTCAGGGTGTGTTCACTGAGGTTAAATGCAAGGTGAATTTCCATCATTCAGCAGATTCCTCTCAACATTTTAAAGACTACACACAGCTATTTCAGTTCAGACTTCAAGCTCTTGCTCCAGATATTCCCTCAGTTGGTCAGTTGCTTCGCTTATCTTACTCATTTATGTTCATCTAACGTGGGATTACTCAGCCTGAGAGACTCATCTACTGCAGCTTTGAGCTCAGTTTTATTTAATATTACATATTTAAGTATCTTATTACTCTGTCATTCCCTAGGCTGTGTATGACCTGACATGGGAGATGCTTCAGGAGATCTATGCTGAGGACCCCAACACCGATCAGCCTCAGTGGGTCAAACCACATCGAGTTAAGTCCTCCTTCTTTCATAGAGTAAAGACACCAGGAGACATCACCAAAATCCAGGTACAGTACTACAGAAAGAAATGCTACATTAATGTCTGAAACACACCAACCTTACCCTTACTGTTGGCGGATTGCTACTATATTTATATTTTAAAATTCTAACTGCTTTACCCTAGAGACAGCCAGGGTTTTAGTATATAGTTGGACCTTCAGCAGTTATAGCAGTTAGAATAAACAAACTTTACAATGTAACTTTGTTAATTAAACTTGGTTATCAGCAATTTTTATGGAGTGCAGTCATAAAGTTTTTTTATACAGTTACACAAATTCAAATATAGTGCCATGCTTTTTACCCATTTGATGACATGTTTTTTTTACACTGTGCACCAGGAATACATCACCGGAGAAGTACTGAAACTGTACGGTCTGACAAAAGATCAGAGCCAGAAGACTGACTGGCAGAAGATGCTCAAATTTGGCAGAAAGAAGCGGGACAGAGTGGATCACATACTGGTAGGCCACAAATTAAATGTTTGGGGGGGTTTTGTACTTGATTTTAAAGGACATCAGTTTGACCCTGTTTATCTCTCAGGTTCAGGAACTCCATGAGGAGGAGGCCCAGTGGGTCAACTATGACGAGGATGAGCTGTTTGTCAAGATGCAGCTGGCAGACAGCATCTTTGATGCTTTACTGAAGGACACAGCAAACGTACTGACACTAATCTATGATAAGAGGGCCAAAAGAGACACCCTCTCCTGACAGCTTTCCTGCTTAGATTTTAAAGTACAACCTCTAGCTCAATCCTAGCCTTTCCTCACCCCAGTGAACTCCAGCCAACCTACCGCCGCTCAGTCTTCCACCAGCTGATGTGCCAACAGCAACCCTCAGATGCCTTCGGTCCCAGCATTACCTCTCAGTTTAACAACTCCTACTTATTTCTGTGACATTCATTTGCTGAATTTGCGTCAGCTAACTATAGTGGTTATATAATTTGTTCTACACACACAACGCCTCTTCATCAATCCAGCCTTCTTAAACGGTAACACCATCTAGTCTCAGTTCTCACCTCCTGGACTGGTCCTTTTGTAAATGCCAGTTGGAGAATGAGTAGATGTTTTGATAGGATGGACTGTGCATTTAAAGTCCATTAATGCTGCTAAGTTGATTGTTCCACACGGGACGGTAATATAAAATCCACCTGGAACAAAAGCAGGTTGTTATATTTTGTACTGAATCTCAAAGTAAATATATATGGATTCACAAATTGTAATAGAGTAGCAGATAAAGAATACACAGTGTTGTCCATAAGTGATTTGACAGTGACACATCATTGTGTTGGCTTTTGTAATCCAGCACATTGAAATTAAACAATGACTATGTGGTTAAACTTTTAGCTTTAATTTGAGGGTGATCACCCCTTATATTGTAGGGGTCTGTAAGCCTGCCTTAAATTAAAACCTAGTTGAAGTCTGACCCACAGAAACAGCCGACAGTGCGGCCACCTTCACTTCTTACTCGTTTCCAGGACCTTTTGCCTGCACTTTGGTCTTTAGAAAGCACAAGACACGCTCAATTATTTGATCATTTTCTTCTTGCTGCGTTATCTTAAAATTGGGGGACTTATGTTTAGGGGGAAAAATCCATTAATGTTCGCTCAATATGGATATGAACACCCTGAAGCACACTTCAACTCTATAATTATTGTTGGATTTCAAATCCAATGTGCTGGAGGAGAGCTAAAACAATTTACATTTGTCACTGATCAAATATAGTAAGACTGCACTGTTGCTGAGATCAGATATTTTATGAAACATTTTGCCTCCATAATTATATTATTTATTGTGTGAAAATGGATTCGAGGAGTAAGGAACATTTTGAATTGTAAATGATCTTGTCAACATAAAGAGAACAGATTTTTAACATCTAATGAAATTGTAAAAAGCACCAGAATTAATTTGAACATGGCAATATATTATGTAGGAATTTTAAAGAATGCTATTGAAACAAGAAAAAGAACATGGGGGGGGGGCTTTTATATTTAAATGTTTTAGTGTTGCTAGTTAATTAAAAGTGACTTTGATTGTGGCCACAACTGTCCAGCTGGTTAACACAATCACTGTGACCCACTTTTGTACTATATGTTAATATTTTGTTTGAAAACTTCTCACACAACAAGGAGAGAAAATGTTTCTCCAACAATTTGCAGTTTATTACTTTTTTCTGTGCTGTAACTGAGGTTTTTGCATCCCATTTAACTTTGTTAGCTTTGGAGGACAAACAAACAACACCATGTTTAAAATGCAAGTACTTTTAGTATCCATGCTAGCATTTTAAAAAAAATTATTATTTCATTAGGTAATTTGAGTGTTAATACACTACATACTAAAAACAGAGACTATAGAGTATATAGTATACAAGTGGGACACAGAAGACTAGCAGTAGGCCTGACTTAAATCACATCATAGGACAGTACTGAAATGCTGGATTCGAGCCTTACTTACCCTACAGTTTGTTTACTTTCAATGACCTGAGAAAACGCCTGTGGTTGTCTTGTGTCTTTATCAGTTTCCCTGGTAAAGGTTGCTCGCTGAACATTTGCCCCAAAAGGAAAACAAAAAACAACCATATAGTCTTGTAGCAGCATGGTTATATGCTCCACTTGCTCCTGTGAAACATTTGGCTTTACAGCAATCAGCAAGTTCAAACCAGCCATCAGAATGTAGCTTGGTGATGTGTTTAGACAACAGAGGTCTTTCTCAACATTCAGTTCAAGTGCCTCTTTATGTTGAGTTGTCTTTCACTTTGTTGATGTCTCAACATCCTTTGGACCTATTTTCTTTGAATGTCTCTTTCAACTGCTGTATACTACCATTTTGTAAATGACCCTTAAATGACTGCTCTTCCTTCTTACTGGTTTGGCGGTACTTCAGTTTCTGCCTTATCAATCTTTCTGTATCTAAGTATAGTTGAAAAAGTTTTTTTTTTTTTTTATAAACCTTCACACTTTCCTGTGCCTCCGCCTGAGAAAATGTTGGTAATAATTGTTGAGTGAGTTTAAAATGTCACCTGCTTCTTGTCCACGTCACCCTTGCATCCATGCATATAGACACAGTTGAGTCATTTTATTGATAAACTGTATCAGGAACCAGTTTGTGGACACTCCACACACACTCCCACAGACACAGTGGCAGTCATAGTGCTGATGTGACTGAGCACGTAGGACTGTATCCAAGGGCTTACTTTGGTCCTCACTGTCAGCGCTGCTTTGATCTGAAAAACAGTGTACAAAGTCATTGTGACACGTGTGACAGAGCTTGTTAACTGTTTGGAGCTAAAGTGACCTTAAACTGAGTACTTGGTCTTTTTTTTTTCTACCTTCATTGTTTTAGGAGTTGCTAAAGGTGTATGTATGTTCAAACTGTAAATTATATAATGTAGAAAAAGACCAAATATATTTGACACCACCCTCTCTAATGCTGTATGACTTGTATGTCTGGACTGTAGGCATATGTAACTGTAATGGTGACACGATTAGTAACCTTAAAAACACTTTCTGCAAGGCTTTATTGCGAACTCTTAAGGATTGTCTCTTGAATTGATTGTATGTGGGAGGAAGTTCCCCTCTGTAACTATGCAGTACTTGGTCTTAAGCATTGTTTTATATGTGTGGACCAAACGGCTTCGACTTCGGCTGTCGTCTGTGGAGTAAATGAACCTTCAGGAAGCTCGGAGCTGTTTGGTGAAGGGTGGAGTTGATCTGAATTACTGAATTGGCACAGAAGATTTGATTATCAAATGAACCCAGTCAGACTAGATTTCCCGTTCCATCTTTTCAAATGTTTATGAATATTTATAATAATGTGCTGTGGGTGCGCGCCGAGTGCACTCGAGGACTTGTACAATTCTTTTATGGGTGTAAATATACTGTCTAGCCAATCTGACCCACTGTTACTGTAACCTGAATGATTGTTGTAAAATAAACACGGTTTACTTTGCAAATATGTGCATACTATATATTTGTTAACTAAATGAAATTGTAAATAAAGCTTTCATTGTTTGTAAAGGAATGCTGACTGTGAGTGTGTTCTTGGTTTAGGTCTGCAGAAGCTACCTGACAATGTTGTTGCAGCACGCTCAACAAATCTCTGATGTTTAGGTTTGTGACTGAAGGCAGGTTTATAAATCTAGGATTCTGTGTTTGGATGTGGTTGTGTGAGAGTTTAACAGTGTGTCAGCTCACATTAACAGCACTGTACTTGATGTATACAAATGTTTGTAAAAAGAAAACGGTAGGATACAATTTTAAAATGCAGTAGGATTGAAGGTTATTACTCTTAAACTGACTGACTGCAGGGTTGTAGGCAACTACTGAGGACACTGAATACACACATACTGCACATGGTTGGATTTTTATGGCTGGTAATTATTAATAAACCTTAAAATGCTTTTACACATAACAAAATACTATGTTCAAAATGATAAATAACGTGGAATTTGTGGGGGGTTTAATACACAGGAATACCTCTGTATGTGTCAGGTGGGTGATGTGCTGGAGGAATTTGAACTCATCATCT